TATGATTTCCCCTGTACACACTTGCCACTTCCAATGACCTCGTGATTTATTGATTTGTACCCATGAAATAAAACATTTGTTCAATACGTAGCCCAACCCGGCACATTTAGCACTTTTTCCACATCATGTAATGTATGAGTCTGATGAGAATTACCGAAAAGAATTCTTTACTCAGATTCTGCCTCATTTGATTCATTCTAATAAATGATTAACGTTTCTTTAAAATAGCACACCAAGTTCATGTTCCTGGGAAGTTGGTTGCAGTCCATGTGAATCAAGACTTTACTTGTAGTCTTGCGCATAGCGCTTTTGAACATACTGACCTTTTACCACATTAAACGATAGTGTAATCTGAAGTGACCAGTTCAAAATCGAGTTAAAGTAACGCTGGAGCTTTCCGTGCTAATTCGGTTATCTGACTGGTTACTATAACTTTATATCATCCGCGTAGAATCAGAAATCTGAAGTAATTTCCTTCACAATTGTTTCATTAATATCATAATTGGTCGGGCTCATGCACCGAACCTTGTTGCACATCGCACTCTACCTCAACTTCATCAGTCAGTGATTCTCGTACCCTCAATTTGAGAGACGCAGTATTAGGATATCAAGCCTATAGAGCTGCATTTAATTTAGCCAGATCGGTGGTATAAGCGATCGAACGCTTTTGAGAAGCGCAGGTAAATGACATCAACTATTACTTTGCCATCAACGGCATGAATACAACTATTGCGTGAAATTAGCAGGTTCGTAGCGCATGAGCGTTTGTGTCGAAAGCCATGTTGCTCTGGCGTTATCTTTTGTAATTTTCCAAGTAAATCATCGGTGCATAAGCAATGATAAACGCCATAACCTTAGAAAGCAAATGTAGAAGAGTAACAGGACGGTAGTTGTTTGGGTTAATGCGACTACCTACCTTGTATAGGACTGGTGATCAGCTTTTTCCATATTTCTGGTTTTTGGTTCTCCTCCATTAGGCGCTGATACAATATTGCCATAATTTACTCAAGTGCACTGCTGCTGTCCTAAATCCCTTCGGTTGAATGATTTCGGCTATACGAGATTTGTAAATCCGCAGGTAAAAAATTTTCTTTAACATATTTCGGTATTTAATGTAATATGGGGTAAAGCTGACGGTGGAATTCTATTGTTTTAAGGGATAACCGTTGGGTGAGTAACTCACTAGACCCTTTATCCGTAATGGAACCGTAAGAGATTGGCGGTTTTCGTTGCTGCTCGCGTGCACATATCAGTGGTGGCCAATGCTAAAATCCCGCTTTGCACTGTACGAAGACCACTAAGGTGTCTGTATAAGATTTTACGTTTCATGCATAATCTCTCCATTAGCTGCTGTGGATGCGTCATCTGGCGCTCGGGAAGATAGCGTACACTGATACATGTTTTGCCACGTTGGCAGTCCAGGTTTCTGAATTAGAGGAGTCCTTGTGACCTAATTATGCTAAGTCGCTTAAGGACATGTATTTAGGTGCTCTCGGAAATGGCTTACTTCACCTTTGCCGAGGGATGGAATTTTGCTCAGATGTGCGTGACCAGTGTGCTAAATGTTCACGGAAAAGTGTATAAGACGTTTTCCCGGGGGCATTAATTAAAAAAAATTTAAAATGCCTGCTTAACAATTGTCATTAACACGTAGTACTAGCTGACCGCACACAATTTATCACTTTCCTTAGAATTCTCCTCATAACCCATCTAGTTAAACTGCAGAGTGACATTGTCACCGCGACCCAGTGGTGTGTTTGTAATTAGTCTGTCGACTAAAAGTTCGTTGGTGAGCACACGATCAATTATCGTGAACCTGTTAGCAATTCGAAATCTGATAGGAGAGGTCACGTGGTTATACAAAATGTAGCTATAAAGCACTTCTAATAAACAGGATTTAAACTGCATGCTATTTGTCTCCAAAATTTCCAAGTCATGCACGTTATATTTATCTGCGATGAGAATGTGACTGTGTGACTTGATCAAAGCAATCTGAAGAAGATGGTTCAGTTAGAAGTCCATTTCACATGTGGAGTTCGGTGTACGGTAAATGACACCTGTAAGACATCTCTTTTCTCCAACCATTTCTGCCACCAAAGGGGATCAGGAGCATGGATTCCTGGATGTTCCATACCATCAACTCGAATAAAACCATTCAATGCAGAGTTGCGTCACCTGCACTTCCAGCTCTATCATTCTGACGGAGAGATATGCAATTTAAATTGACATCATAGTTTTCTATCTCAAGGCATATCCAGTTCTAATTAATCAAAAAACCTGCGGTGGTGACGCCTATCTTTCTCTAATTTTAGACAACGTACAAAAATAAACATTAGCATTGTTGTAAAAACAGGATATAGTTTTTGGATGTTAGAAGTGGGTAGAATACAAGTTCTTGCATTGCTTTAAGCCGACCGTTCGTCAGTTTGACGCTAATCATTTTTTCTTTGATCTTTTATTAGTGCATTTTAGGCAGGCTGTATATTAGCGTGAAACATCTCAGATCAATATTTTCTCTCATATGTCTCCTTGCCCAGTTAATTGTCACTAATGCCATCTTGTCTAAAGACTGCAATATCGTGGAGACAAAAATTATACCGAGTGTGCAGGTTCTAATAAGTGCTGAAAAATCATGACCGTGCGCATGATCTTTAGCTGAATACCGGAAAGCTACCTGAGGTGAGGCGTCAAACGACTTTCCAATAAGACTTCTGTCATTCTTTATGAGTTTAGCCCGAGATTCAATATTTTGAGCCGCAACGCTTGCGGTTTGGAGATGAAGGAATTCTCGTTGCTGCTTTAGTTATAAAGCCTTCAAGTGAGAGTGCTTCGTGAAGGTAACACAACCAGGCTCGGTCATGTTTATACGCTGCTTGATAATGAGAGCACAGTGTATGGAACACTGTGAACAATTACCGTTCCTTGCTCCCGTTTTTAGAAGAGCCGCCACGATTTTATTATTTCCGTTGACTTCCATTTTCAAGGTTTATTTTGTAGTATGCGTTCCCATTTCGATGATTTGCGTATGTGCGAGTTGTCGACAGTAATTTGGATAGATTAGCTGGCACTAAAACTGTTTTGAAAACAGCGTCGCATGGCTCGTGCTTAGTACACATAATGAACGTACTGCAGTCTCTTTGGGCTTTTGATGGTGGTGATCTAGGCGAGGTTTACCCAGCTCTGGACTGCGGATGTTGTGACCAACTCATGAGTTATGGCATCTATGGTTGAGGCAAAAGCAGTCACTTATTTAAGCTGTTAGTAATTGTTGGTATAGATGGCGCAGATGCCATTGGGAGGTTAGCAAGACTGAATTCAGCCTTCGGCTTAGGGGTAGAGCTCTGAGGGTTTTGCTTTATAAAAGTAATAGAACTGTTGGATTAAGTTTACAAATCTCTGAATCGCGCTATCTGCTCTTCTGTCTCAGTCAAAGCTTAAATCTTCTCACAAAAGATATTATAAGATTGAACAACTGGACTGCAATCTATATTGAACAAAACCAGGGCGCATCAGTCAGTTCGTTTTGTTTATGGTAGTTGATTAATAAAACAAAACAGCGGTGATGAACCGCAAGGCTGCAGTGTGAATAAATAATGCCTGTTCTTATTCCTCGTGCACATTTTTGCTCGTCACATTTGCAGTTATGTGGAATCAATTCCATTGTGAGCCGTGGTTGCAAACGAAAGCCTTCTTCCCCTGGTCAATTGAAGTGGAAACTAATACTGCAGCTGGGAGCTCATACCGATGTCAACTGTTGTCAGTGCAGTAATTGGTGCGAGGACTGCACCACGCAACAGCTGTGGTGGACGCTGTTATCTTTTTTTTAAATTGACAACACAATGTCATACTTTAAATCAGTCTGAATTATAATGCTCATACTTTGTTGCAACAACACTGTTTGGTACCTAAAATCGTGGAGCCATACCATGAAGTATAAGACCAAATCATGGCTACATTCATTGCAGTAAAGTTCTGCTTCGGATCATATCCAAAAGAAAAACAATTGCTAGTCATTTATTTGGCACCTGCAAGGTTTGTGTCAAAATACTTTTCTACGAGTGCCGAGTATGGGTCTGAAATGAACTAAGTTAAATGTGCTTATGTTAATCGCTATTCCATATCATTCAGATTTATAGTGTGTTTCACCATTTTGACAAATCATATCCAGACAATATTCCTCGGTTTCTGTCCCAACATGGCTAATTCAAATTTTGTTTTCACTTCCAATATATCCGATCCAGTAAATCACAAAGTTGCCTTATTAAAGTTAAATGCGAAACAAAATAAACGTAAATACTGTCGTCGTAAGCTATGCTTTCCTAAAGGGACGCTGTGTCCAAAGCCAATTTTGCTACGAGAAATGTCTATTAATAAAGAGCAAGTGGGAGCAGCCATCAATGTAGACCTCGTTGTGTAAAAACACAGCTCAAGAGCATTGAGCGCTCTGTTACAGAGTCACACAACTAGATCAAAGTTGTTATCTAGTTAACAAGCTCATCCTTTTTACAGGAAATCTAACCACCATGATTTACAAATAGTGCAAAATGTCGATTAAGAACCTGCAAATCTGGAACTTTTGCTTTCTCATACAACAGGGCGCAGCTCTCTTAAACCACGTTGGTTATTTTAGGTGTGTTTATCAACTACGCAATTAAGTCGTATTGCCAAGGAAATGCGAACTGCATCTAACTACCACCATGTTGCATATCTTTCTATACACATTTTATATGGGAAACACTTGTTTTACTTCCCCGCTTTACGTAAACAATATAAATACATGATCCGTGCTCTAGAGGCAAGTAAATAGTTAAGCCTAATGGAGCTCTTCAGCTGCATTAGGTGCTACAATCAAAGGTTTCATATAGTTACAAGTACTCTGAAATGTTAAGTATATTTTTTCAGTAAACAACTTTTGTTCTATAAAACCTCCCTTTGGTAAAACGGTTTCATTACTTTGAAATCACTTGTGTTGAATAAGTGGGATTATTAAACAATTGTACTCAATAAATATGCATACCGTAAGAGGCACTATCCTCTCGTAAATTGACAGGAAATATGCAGTGCCCTTCATGTTGCTTCAATAATTTAGCCAGCCCCAATGCTTTTCTCTCGTTTGTATTCCCAGGGACGCGTGTTACTTCCATTAGCAAGTTTAGCTTTGCTAGGAATTTCGGTTGAATAGTGACCCCTCTTTCAACGAATTCCAAACGACATTTCTTCAAAGACTGCAACGGGAACACAAGAACCTATTAGATGTATTGGGATGATCAGTGTTGTGATTCGTAAAAGGTATGATTAATGTTCAAGTATAATTACTTATTTCTGGTTACTATCAACCACAAGTCACTAGAGAAAAGCAACTATTATTCGCAGCAGTTTTATACTTATTAGAAGCACGCCATCCAAAAGTTGGTTCCAGATAATATACTCACCTTCAATCGAGGTTTGTCGATCTATGTAGGGAAAATTGGGAAACAAACGATCTTCTATTTATATGAAAAATAGCACGTATACGTTTGCCTTACTGAACCCTATACCATTCGAATTTTTATTTTCAGCAATATTGTCGAGCTGTAAGGAAGAACTGGTATGCATGCTTTGCGGAAATCACCTCCATCCTCTCTTACATACAAGAAAAACAGATGGAATCCAGAGCTATAAAGCATATCATTAAGAAAACAACAGTGGTACATTAGCCAATTGAGGTGATGCTTCGCCGCCGTACAACCACGATGTCCTAAGGAATGAAGATCAATACCAGAGTGAAGGGGTCTGTGGTAAAATCATAATGTAGTAAAAAAAATACAAGGAGTCAAGGAGACTACAATTTATTAGTAATATGCCGTTACATAAAGCGGACTTTCCTGCAAAGGAAAGGTCATGTGAGCCTTTAAAACGGTGGGAAACCCTAATCTGACTACATAGATGTAGCACATTTTAAAGTACAGTTTGAGCCGTTGCAATGCGTGAACTGACTCCAGTTTCTATGCGCCCGCCATTGCTTATATAGCTGTAAAGGTAGGTGAAGTGATCAATTAGCTTTATTTCATCGCCATTAAAATGCAAAGCCATCAAGCGTCTTGTGGTTTTATGGTGGCAATTTTATGTTGCAACTGCAGAGCGCACGCAAGAAGACAGGACCACACCACGGAAGTTATTCAAAAATGATTGTACCACCCCAACGTCGTTAAAACAAGATACAGCAGCGTCGGCTTATTCAAGCTCAACTACCATTTTCACAGGCAGCACTTAAACTCCTGCATCGTGAGTTTCCGCAAGGGAACACTATGTTTTGGAATTCATGACAAAGTTGAACTAAAATGGGAAACTGGACAACCTTGAAGAGCTATAGTATTGTCAGAAAGGTGGGCGACAACTCCGCTTAGATCCTGACGCGACCTGCGTTACTCGAGTACAGAGCACTTAAAATCTTCATATATTTCATCAGAACGCATTTCTGAGCAAGTCCGTTGAACAGAATGTATAGATCAACATTAACGAAAGCCCCCTTAAATTCGTGGAACACAGCTATTTTCAGGCTGCAGCATGAGTTCATGTTCTATAGCACCTGCCGAATGACGAATATGTGGTCTATACATCCCCATCCAGTGTGCTAGCCTACCTCCGCTTCTCTAGTCCGTGACTGTGGTTCAACAGTGAGGCGGAAAATGGGGAATTAGGCAAGTAATGTTGTGATCAACGGTGTAGGGCTAATACCCCTAAGAAATAAATTAAGTTTATTTACGTGGCTAACGCGAATATGCAAAATGGCCAAATTCAGATTATCCCGTCAAAATGTTGTTATTCTAGTCATTTTGAAATTTTTGAAGAAAAAGATTTGTCTGAAGCTTATAAAATGTTCTCTAGCTACTGACATGTTTCACTGTGTGGATAAGCTAGTCGTAATATGTTGTCGTATCCGTCATGTTATATTTATATGTATATATATATATATATTTATCCATATATGTGGTATTTAAAGTGCCAACGGATCATGATGACATAGGAAAACAGAAGGGAAATTAGAAAATAATATAACAGACAACAAATATTTTGTCCAGTTTTGGGAACTTTAACATATAAATTTACTAAGGTTAATAACGAGCATTACTGCAACACGTAGGTATAAAGACCACCTCTGACGTTCTTGAACTAAAATTCCAGGTTGAAAATGACGATATTGCATTCCTCTGGGACCGCAAACAGGGAGTCGAGATGGACCTACCTTGGCCAAATTTTTCAGCAAGCTTTTCATGCGACCTTTGCAAGTGGTAAGCTATCCTCTGCGCACACTCTGCCAGTCAAGCCCAGAAACAACGAGAAACATATGAAGCTGAAGGCGCCGAGCTTTTATGGGCAACACGTGACTAAGCCACTGCAATTTGCGTTGCGACATTATCTCAACGAACGAGATTTTGTCTAACCCCAAAATGCACTGGCTAATTTTCGCATTGCTTAAGTGTTACAGTCACCGTACAGGCAAATGTACGGAAAGCGACGGTGCTCAAAGACGTACAGCCGGCGCAGGTCAGCCGCTCAAACATGTTAGATATCGCAGTCGTAGAACCGTAAAACGGGACATTTACACACTAAACAAATGCAATAGCGGCGCCATAAGTGCTCCAGTCTGAAGAATGTAAGACTAGCTTATAAAATACACATCGAGCTCTCATCTCTAACAGTTTCATCGACAGTGATACAACTTCGTATGTGGAAGGAAAACTTGACAACCTCCAGTTTATCCATACCGAGAATATGGTGACATATACTCAGGTGCTAGTCAAGATATACTAGCGTGCATTTGTCTGGTGAAAATAGCGTACTATACGTCGAGGCAACAAATTGCAATCGGTAAAGTGAAAGATGGACGGTCTGCAAAATGACATCATCGGCGTAGTCCAACTGAGGTACTCAACTACTTCTAATGGGTTCTATGCCAGCTTTTAACGACTCTCCTGGAGCAATTTGAATACATGCTTCATAGAAAACTTGAGAAAAATAGTGATAAAAGTCATCCTAGTCAATCAGTTTTGCTAACAAAAGTGGTATGCAAAGGTATGCGATCTGGCTCCAAGAACAGCACCAGGTTCGTCCTCTCACTATTAGTTGAACGCACCCGGAGACGCTGTTGTGGCAACAACTGCTCAAGCTGAAGTGGGTATTGCTCTCAACTTCAAGCCCGAGTCATCCTTGGTTGCTTGGATTATGGTGAGCAGCTTTAACTGGACAGTCATTTTCAGGTTATCAACTAACGTTAACCTACGTTGAGGCATGCCAGTTTTAGCGAGACGGGAGATCTTCAATGGAAAACGAATAAACTGACATGTTCAGCTTGGTTGAACATTGTCTTGTCGAATGGATTGAAGCGATACTATGCGACTGTTTGATTTAATCCTAGAAGACGAACATTTATTGTAGCACGTTTGTGGAATGCCAAAAAAGGGGATGGAAAACGTGGGAACAAAGTTAAGTTGGAGCAAGATGATTAGGATAAAATAGCGCAAGCAAAGGGGATAAGACGACTGGAAGACCTAGGCAGTAGCATCCAAACTCCAATCCACTTGCTAGACGAAGCAGCTAGGGCACCGGTCGTTCCTCTCTTAAACGGTAAGTGCCTCACAAATGGTTAGAAAAAAGGTTCGTTGCATCGCTTCGGCAAAATACTGTCAGGTTTTCTAGGACTAGACAAGAGGATTATTATACTTAACAAAAGCCATTGGTTCCAAAAGTTTATCATAAGGCTGCGGGGTTTTGGATTTGGACTACATAGAGCCCGTTTTACGAAGCAAGGAGCCACCCTCACCCCCACTCGAAACCTGAGGGGCCAGTAGACTGAGTTTTTCTGGATAAACAACCTGGTAAAAGTGGCTCTAAAGGTAGCTATACAGGTGCAAAAAGAACCATCCAGCTTAACCAAACGGACCACTAAGGCACACAAACCATCGCAACAGTTCAGCTCCACTCTCCTCACGACGGCTACCGCTTGCTAGAGATAAACCAACAGGAAGAAGTTGTCAACAAACTTGGGACCCTACCTATCGATATTTGTTGCTTATCGAAACCGGGCTGCAAGTTTCGATCTCCGTGTTTACTCTGCGTTCCTCTGCACGCGACACCGATAGTACGTTCTCATTGCGTCATTCTGGCGATGATGCAGCTTCAAATACCTTTCAATCTGGCGTTGAGGTTGTTTTGATTCCCCCGACTGAAACTGCCCTGAGCGATCGGATCTCAGTCAGGGGTCAGGTTTGTGAGACTAGTTTAGCTGATTCGTTCCATCTTTCAAAGTCGTGCAAGAGAAACGAACATCAGTTTAGCATTCCGGTCTACGCCACCATAAACAGCAGCACTTATTCGGTGAAAAATGGTTACCCTCAGCAACTACATGATCTCCTTCTGGACAGACAAAGCAAGGATACCGTGGCATTGTCTGACCATCTAAAAGTCCAAATCATAATGAAAAGGTGAACGATTGCTAAGTCTCCGGGAAGATGCTAGCCTCTTTCTCGCGAGCGCAAATCTTAACACAACACCCGCAGCAGTGTAGATTGACGCCCATCAGCTTCGCAACAGCCATGGACACATATTTTTCACATAGTGATCTGTTACCACTGGAGATGTTGGGTCTCATACCGTCGCTCGTTTTGGAGCACGAGTGTCGACTCTGACCACGCGCTTGTTTGTCCCAAACTTCGGCTGAGATTCAGTGGAATTCCTCAACGTCGATGTCAAAGGAATGACAGTAGCCAGCTAGCCAATCCAGGTGTTCTGAATGTGTATAGATGTGCGCTGGCATCCGGATGCGTAAACGATTACAGAACACTGTCGAACAGCACTGGTTTCACATTCGTCAAACGTTGATACCATGTGGCATATCAAGTTGTCAACCTATACATTCGGTCATTACACAGCCTCTGGAACATATGGATGCTTACCGACGTATTTCCGCTTGAAGTAAAACCAAGGAGGCTCGCCAACATCTCAAGGCAAATCTACTTGCTAGCCGGAAGAAAGACGGCCAAGCATAGTGGCCTCATCGTTTCAGTTAGCTTGAAACAACCGCTACCGTTTTTAATCATCGTAAGTTATTTTGTTTGAAATAGGAAAAAGGAGGTAGGGCACCAGGTGTTGGCAAGACATTACTCGACGATAGTGGGCAAACGATCTACAGCCTGTCAAACACTTAGAGCGTTAGGCCGAACAGTATGTAAAGCATTTTGACCAAACACGTTATAGCTTTGTTTTTCGGGCATAATCCTCCCTTCTACCTTGGTCTTCTCCTTGGATCCAGCCTCACACTTTAAAGATGAAAGGGGGCTTAGTCTGTTAAAATTGCATAAGAGCATACGGCATTGAGAACTTTGTCAGACGTTTGCACCCTCCAAGGGCCTGCTGTGTTAGAAGATTTACGCGATATGCTGCTGAATTTTTAGGAGCAGGAGAAGGCCCCGACAGACTGGAGCCGTTCTGTCATTGGACGATTTTCAAAGAAAGGCATCCGTTAGAAATGCGGCAATCATAGTTAGGTCCATCTAATCACAACGGCCTCGAAATTGCTTACGTCTGTCGTTCTCCACAGACAGACTGGCACTCATGAAAGCCACATTAATGTAGAGCAAACCGGGATTTTTCTAGTTCGGAGCTGCATCGACCACTTAACATATTGGGTCAATCGTTGGAGTACCGCCTGGTTACGTGACGACCAACCATTTTATTGTTTATTTACATAAAAGGTGCCTTGGTCTCAATCGATTGACATGCACTTTGTGACTGTAAGCAGAGGAACGGTGTGCCTAATAAATAAGTAAACAGTATCAAAGAGCATCACCCGCATAAATACGGCGGATTGAGGATTCCTGGCAAACTAGGGCCACCCTTCAGTATCAACAGTGGTGTGCAAAATGGTTGGTCACTCTTAGATTTCCTAGTTAACTTTGCAGCTGAAGAATTTAAGAAAACATCTTTTGCTGGATACAACCTTGAATGTGTGGGGCTACTGCCTAGTGAGCTACTAACTGAGTTGAACTATGCGGACGATTATTCCCTAATCTGTGAGAGCTCACAAACATGTCAGGTAGCACTGGACTGATTAGCACTGGATGTTTGTCGCTTTGGACAATGCTTTGCTCCATCAAAACGTAAGGTAGTTCACCAAGATTGGCAGGGACCCACCCTTTCGCCAAAGCTTTGTAATGACCAGCTAGAAGTCGTCCAGTTATTCAAATACCTAAGCAGCTGTACTAGTGTCCGTTGGATCGAAGATGCTTTTAAATCGTAAAGTAAAACGTGAGGTGATTTTGTCAATCTTCACCTGTGACGCAGACGCAACATTACTCTCGCCCTGAAGGGTAGAGCTTATAACGCAGCCGTGCATTCAACTCTCCTATTTGGTTGTGAAACCTGGCCAATTATGTCAATATATATAAAAAGGCGCTTCACGGACTATCACGGCTGCCTTCGCGGCTTAGCTCATGTCTGTTGGAGCCCCGCTTGAACAGTGAGCGTGTTCGTGGTCGCGTATTGGGTGCATGAAGAGTGAGTGAACCGCTCAGCACCAGACTATAATGGATAGGCCACATGTTGCACATGCCAGCACAGGACTCCCGCGACGTGCATTGTTTGCGCGTTGTGGGCAGGTCTGGAAGATTAGGAGAGGCGACCAAGCCATGACTTGACTGAGAGGGATGAGAACCACCAGTTCGAAATTGACGTCAGTTGGTGCATCCTGACTGCCTGGCTGGGGCCTAAAGGGCGATGAACGCATTTGTTTGAACAGACTTGAGCATACGCGAAGACCCGACACCAATGGTGAGTTTCCTTATTCATCTGCATCCATTTAGTTTTCTCTCCAATCCCGATCTCATGCAAAACATATAATATACGATTTAAAGTCAAATTTTGTAGCGTAATTTGTGTAATGGGGAGTGTAATTATGTTGACTTATATTTTATGTTGCGGCACATTAGATGGGTGGCATTTCTCACTCTCAACTAACGTTTGCTGATGACCATGCAGGTTAATTTCCGGGATAGCAAAGACGCAGATTTTTGTGGGTTCTGCTTGTGCCCCCAACGATTGCAGCTCTGGTAACGAAAATGACGCTTTCTGCCACGAACCCAACAAGCAACTACGCATTGTCATATTTTGTGATAACAGTTTTGCAGAGGGTGGGAACACGCAAAAAAGATGTGTGAGCAATTCAGAACCTTTGATAGGTGACAAGTTAAGACTTAACACCGGACGGACGGACAATGCAAAGCAATATTATAGCTGCGTGCCTATCACAAGCTGCCTTTTAATAGTGCCGCTTTTAAACATAGTTGTCGTCGAAGATGTAATTGGCTTCCGCTTTTAGCTGACCATGGATGGATTGAAATACATTATTTTGCCATTCCAACTGGTGGCATGGTTGCGTTCTGTATTGTCCCTCGGTCTGCGTCGTCTCTAATTATGCCGTATTACGCATACGAAATTTACAGCCAGGCGTATCAAGCGACTACTTGATTGGCAACTGATAAATTTTCTCAGCCGACGGGCAAGCAATCCTAAAATAATACACGGCGTACCGAAATTTCGCCCACTTTCCTTGAAGAGCACCGATAGAGATCATTCCGTAAAATAATGCATAACATTATTAGAAAATGTTTTAGGTACTCGTTTGTTGTTAAAATGAAACCCATATATTCTTCATTTAGAATAACGCGGTGTGCGTGAAAGGGAATTCATATTTAGCCAGGTGTATATAAACGTCATTTGATCGAACTATGCAGAGTAGGTCTGATGCTCCAGTGTACATATATGCTAAGTAGCAGTCTTCGAAAAACCGACAAGGAATTTCGGTAAAATACGCGTTGTGACAAATCAGCCTACTCTTGCATCTGACTGACCGAAAATAAACGAAATCAACGTTCATGTGGTGGCACACGCTTTTGCAAATTTGTTCATATTATATGTGAATAAATCATGATGAGAAAGTGTGATCCACATTTACGAATCACCGACATAAACCTGTGCCCATTATGAGGGAAAATTTCCATTAGCAATCTGATGCGAAACCACTAAAATGGGTTATTAATTGCCGCAGACATTTAAGCACTGCCCAGAAATTTGAACGTCAAAAGCAAAAAAGTGTAATTTGTGTCGACAAAATTAAGGCTCTTGTCATAATCCAGTCTGCCTCACCTCATTCGCTGACAATCAGGCATATACGTTGGTTGATCACAGGTTAATATTATGTCCAACATTTTTGGAAGTGTCGCCAATTAAATAATTATAATTTGCGCTTTACGAATGGTTTGAAACCTGAAGGGAAAAAACTACATAATATGCTGGTATTCCACCCAGCTAAACAGTAAGTATTCCTCTATGCCTCGTGATGACTGGTGCATTTTATAAAGAGCAACACCTTAGCATAAGTTACTACATTAAATGCTTCTGATTCCTCCCAAATTTGTTGGATGGAAGAATACTTGTGACTTAGTACTAGGCAGCATCGCTCTACCTGCTTACTTATCAGTGACTATCCAAATTGGAATTGAAGTTCTTCATCCGTGATTTTCGTGCTGATCCCATGTTCTCAATTCTTGCAAACGCCACGAAGTAACTTCACAAGAACTGAAAAACGCTTGACTTTGTCAGACGTATCTCGGCTTATGGGAACAAACGGTCACAACATACACAGTAAATTAACACTTAAGGTACCATACTCATCTCATAATCACTCAAGATTAACATATTTGGACTGGAAGTTCCGGAAGGAGCAAAGCTCATCTTTTTATACTCCGAGAAAACACAATTTCATTAACTAAATATTTAAGATATGAATTATTTCAGCTGTATTTTCTTCCTTAATAGATACATTGGTCACCTAATATTTTTAAATGCTTTCACAAAATGACTTCGCCTTCATCGTGATTTGATGAAGCACATTTCCAGGTGTTCTGAACTGCTCAAGAAGTCTCTGTTTGACTCATTGTTAATAGGCTTTTGGTGCATGCACGAACTTTTCGTCAGTTTTAAAACGACAATTTCACCACATTCAGATTATTTTACTAAAGCTCTCCTTTTTCTTCTGCTCTCTAGCAATTTATGGTTGTGTTTTCTGCGCACAATCTTGTAGCATTCCTCTTTATAAGCTTATATTGCCAAGTTTTATTTTGGCGCCAAGGAAATTATTATAAACGTATGTGATATGTTTTACTTGTGTATAGTGCATGCATTATTTGTCACTTCTTCTGAATTATAATCTTATTTCTTTTTTACTCACTGTTGCATTCACATCGTTAGTGACATATATCGAAAAGGCTTCCATTTGGATGATAAATCTATTTTGTCTGTCATTTGGCTTGCCTAGGATATTCGCCCAATGCTGTTAGAAAATTTACACTGCATGTTCAGCTTAAACTGTTGCGCTGCTTAATTGTAGCATCGTAGAACGGGATACGTATTCCCAACGGTTATAATTTATTTGGGTTTTATGGATGTATTTTGCGTTGCGGTGGGTTATTCTGCTTAGGTTGACAATGAACCCTGTATAAAAATGGTTTTCATTAATGAACCACTAAAAAATTGTGCACTTGCTTTTTCGAAAAATAACCTGCAGATGTCGGTTGTTCGTTCATCGACTGCCATGACAGTATCCACATCTTTGGAATGGAAGAGTACAACGCCCATTATTTATTGAATACACACACCACCACGTCGAACTTACAGCTAACTTTCAAAAAATAACATCAACAAGAGAATAAAGAATATTAAACAAAGATAAATGACTTGGTTTTCAGAGTTTTCAGGGCAACTGAGGCGTGTTGGATGCGCCAGAGAATATTTTGTATGATATGAAATAAACATCCAATGCCATTAGCAAATAAACCAATGCAGACTTACGAATCAGCCTACTGTCAATTGCTGTCAAATAAGGGATCAGAATAAACATGATTGTCAGTATAAATAAAAGGGATTTACGAGGAATGTGTTTTTACTTACATTGCCAGACACAGGTGAAGCGATATTAAAGTCAATAATCTAACCATCTCCAAACTGGAGTGATTGGAGAGGATCTATCAGAACTTGAAAACATTTTCACTCGTTGCATCGGTTTTGAGCAGCAAGTGGCAGATGGCTGCATAAAATTGATAGCATTTACTTAGTCTGAGATATAATATCACTAAGTTCTTTATAAACCTAAAGAAAACTTACAATGCTTTGGTGGCCAATGCATTCCGACGACTTGAACAGTTATGTTGCTCTCATCGTAGGTAATATTTCTGAGATATCTCGCTGGGCCGACCCAATTTTCTGGATACTCCCATGTCACATGATCAAAGTTGTAGTGTACAATCACACAACGATAGGTGTTTTCTTCTGATGGTATCGGATCACAAAGCACCTGTGGCTCGAAGCTAACAGTGTGTGCTATAGGAGGAAACTGGATGAGAGGTTGAAAGAGCTGATTGAATTTCCGAAGACAAATATCGTTGAATCGGAAGGAGTTAAAGGAAAAGGATATAACAAGCAGGCTCTCTTGTTGAAGAGAACTAATTGTGTGACGGTAGAATGGATTTCTGGTTTGCAGATGAGTAAACATAGTAGCAGTGGTTTAAATGTAAATACCTAGCAAATACCAAGGATGTTAGGACGGGAAATAAAAAATAACACAGTGTAGATAAAGTAACACGCAAAATACGTGATCTACCTAGAGATTTGAGGTAGCACATGTGTGGGCATTCCCGTAAAGTATATAAGTCATTTCTTTTTTATCAACTGTCTGTCCCTCAATATTATAAACATCAAATTATAGTTACTAATGATATAAGTTGGAGAAAATGCATCCAAAGATCAGCAACTGTATGGTGGAGGCAATAATCACATTTTAGACGAAAGTGTTAGAGACTGTAACACTCGGAAAGAGTAAAAACTTCGTCGACATTCCAATGCACTCCTCTGTGTGGTCAAATTCAAATGATGATTCCTCAGAGATTGGTGCTGCTTGCATTTCTGAAAACAACTAATGTTGTCGCCTGGGGTATATAGTAGCTGATGTACAGTTAGCAACACTCTATACAGGTTTATATATATAGGTATATATATAGGTATATATATATAGGTTTTCAGCCAGCTTTTGTATAGGAACTGTGGCAGTCAGTTAGAATTATTTCTATCATTTCCGTTTGAAGTTTCGAGCATTACAAGGTGCTATTTGTGCGGTGCTGATATCTTTAGATAACCTTTTTACATTGCGTATTATAACATGCGCCGAACACCTGCGCAAGCATTGTGGTGGTGACATTTCTGAGCTCAACACGCAGAACGACTACGTGCTAATTTTTTCAATGCTGCTTGTTTATTCTACATCAAGCCGTCAAGATCATTTTCCACGAGCACACGGATATCATAGACAAGAGAAGTGCGTTGCCGAATTCGTGGCCCTGGCAATTAATACGGACTGCTCGGCCGGCGTATTCTCAGATCTTTGCAGCTGTCGGCGTGGAAATTTATAATTTACCGGAATGATCTTGAATAAACATTATCCAGATCACTCAGTAAATCTGTAGGATCCTCCGGTGTAGCAACATCACACCGAAAATTCAGTTCAAAGTGAAATAGTGGAAAATGTGTAGAGTGCACCCACAGGAGGTCCGTTATGAAGCTAAAGGACAGAGGATATGCGAGTGAGAACGGTAACGGTACACTACATTATATTTTGGTTAGGTAGTACATGTTATTGATAACCTGCGGTTAGATGACATTGCATATTGCCGGATATCTATCAAACACATCAATGGATATCCGATAACATATCTTAGTGGCATGTAATTAGATAGTGATATTTCAGATAGACGGCATCCAGTAAGCCTCTGACATCAAGAACTTCTGTCGATTTTGCAAGTTACATTAGTTGCTTCATGGTGGGAAATCCGTACTGATCAGGTACGAAAAGGTATGTACTCTGCATGTGCTGTATGAGATCCTCAGAGAAATTAAACATCATGCACTTGATTAATAGCATTTTATAATTGCCAGATAGCTTGCTGTTTCTGCAAGACTGTCTCTATTATAGTCTGAAGTGGAAGTGCTGTACTACTACAACTAAGGAACTATATCTCTTTATCGATCTTTTCAAAAATATTGCTATCATATCAGGTAAATACACAAAACTGCCTCCAAAGTTTATTGCCATAAGCTTCTATAGAAGTATGTGGATAGAGGAGCACATGTGACAACCTATTAGGTATGACCGCAATGGACATACATGTGTGGATAACAGTTGAAGATGGTACAGTCTATGTAGGGAGGCTCTTGCATTATACCAAACTTTTTTACTACAACGAAATCGCTGTCCAGGAATGTTATTCACCTATTTTGACGTTTCTGCTAGTCGGCATGCTCTGTTTGGAGCAGAAATCGCTTGCCTGATTCAACAAATTATGTTTGCATGTCAGTTACATAAATTACTGTTGTGCAACACTTACATAACACGTCTTTGTTGCTAATATATATTCCTGAACGAGTATGAGGAAGATGTCCTTCCTTATACAGACTACGTAGTCTTAACAAGACAGCTAGTTAAACGATGCAAACTTCGGACTCATGCCCCTCAGGAACGGATTTATCTTATTTGGGTGACGCGTATCCGTTTCCAATTTGTATGCCACTAGCCTGTCAAACCGCTTGCAAACGCAACCGGATAAATTAAGGGAATAATAAATCCAGGCAAAACTGGCTACTTGTGCTAACGAATACAGCCCGATTAACCTAATTGATCGCGACCTAAGAATCTTCGTTATTAGTTTTCATATATTATGCGCGGCTCATGTAACGGATATAGTGCCGCATGATCAAGAGCCAAAATAAACACTTTTGTCAATAGATACATCTTGAATGCTTCATTGGTGAACAATCAGCTTAATTTGGTAGCGCTGTAAAAGTGATACCGTTCTAAAGCGGTAAACTAGATATAAACTGAAGTGATCCGCAGCAAATGGTTTATCAAGATTGGGTAGGGTTTTAGGCCGTACACGTCGCATTTCGCTAGTCACGCACCTTGGCTGTTAAAATAAACCAGCTTATTCCTTAGCGGACGTCAACATCTAATGCAATTCTAAATGTCAGGCAGTATACAGAGGCAGCTATATATAAATTACCCTTCCTTGTGTGCGGATTCCGCACTATAAATAGCCAAAGCCTGGATGCACTGATCCTTACGGTGGCCCGTGTTTAGTTTTAAATGGTAGTAAGTAATAATGTTGCCTTATTTATCAAGCCGACTTTTACACAAAACTAGAGTACATGCGTTGAAATATCAGCTTTTTTATCAGGTTGTTAAACAAAACTGGGTTTTCATAATAAAAACTGCAAACATTCGTGCCTGGCAAGACCGAAGCATTGTCAACTAACATGATAGGCTTTGCGTTTCTGGATACCAATATTCCAGAGCTAAAGATACTCGAATATTACCTAAACACTGATGTTTCCTAATAACGTGTGCCTGATCCTGTAAGGCAGGCAGACAATCTTTTTCGGATGAGTTGCTGGCCAACAATCTGTGAAAGATTTTGGAAAGTGCACTGAACAAACTTTATTTAACTCTACCTAAAGCTATTGGTGATGAGCCTGATGATTTTGCAAACTGTGTAGTTAATAATCGTTACCTCTGAAACGGGTAGGCAGCTACGTTTGCAGAGCGCTGTAGCTGGACATGCGTCGGCTTAGCCAAACACGGCTTGGCATTGACCCCATTTCGAAGTGTTTTCCATGACAATTCACTGCGTAGTATTGTCTGTCCGAGTATCATTAAAACTCGTTGTTTGTAGTGATGCATAACTTGCATTACAGTTGGACCATATACTTGGCTTACGTGAGAAATACAATTACTGCGCAGCGACTCACGCCGCGTTAACAAAACCGAAGCCTTTCACAGCACATAGAAACCTGATGACATGGAAACAACAGAACACTATTCAGCACAAATCTTTATGTTATTACGCAACAGTGGACTCAAGGAACTCTCGTCATGATGCCGAGTTCTCCATCGTGCGATATCGCGATGAACCAACTGAGCAAATCAGATGCTGCGGCGGTTATCACACAAACTCATAATGACACTTACAGAGATTCTATTAGGACGTTCTCGATAGTAGGCAACTCGTTTGCCTCATGAAAACCCGCCTTACTAAATAGGTTACGTCGTTTTATTACGCAATTTATTTTAAGAGTTAAACACATGTCCGCTACAGCTGAGTAGGTAAAAGAACTCCTGCTAATGCCAAGTTTTCTTTCAATTGCGGATGGCAATGCAGTTGTACTAGCTTGCCATCATTTGTTTATAATATGGCATCAAGACCTCGTTAGTCAGCACTATCTGTGAAGAATGTCAGTGCGTTACGTATAAGAATATAATCAACTGTGATGTGTTTTAACTTGATCCCGCACTGCCAACAAATTATGAATAGCAGCAGTCAAGTGGTAGGACAAAGCGACATGCAGACTTTATGAAAAACCTAGATGAAGCTTTTGCGACGTATTCTCAATAACGCTGGAAAACACATGCCAAAATATCATTTTGGTATTTTGTGTGACTGGAGAATTTGAGGCGTGCGATTACTCACTAGATTGCGAGCAGTTTGATATACGTCCGACTCGGTCCAGATTTTCAGTGTATATGCTAAAATATTGAAGGCGATCAGGATTAAGTAGGGAAGCCGACGCCCCTGACACACTCTGACAAAGGTAACAACAAATTGCTTTTCTGGGTGAACCCGATGATATTTTGCACAGAATCTCCGTATGAATACTGAATGATCCTCTTTGATTTACACATATTTTCAAAGGACCAGATATCCACGGAAAAAACGGTAATACTAAATCATGGGCGCAAATCAATAAGATTCCTTGTGTGTGTTTACTTTCATATTCGTTCCCATCCCCAATCAAACGGCCTCCAATACGGTATAAACAATCTGACCCAACACTACCAAAGGAGAATGCCTGCGAATTGGTAACATACCGCGACAAAGAGCAAAATGAAAATATTCGCTAAACATTTCTATTGAAACCCTGTAGAAAGCCAAACAGTTGACGGTCTTGCCCGCATGAACGTGTTGCAACGAGAATTTGTTCGTCTCTTTGCTGACTAATAATTCTCTATAGATGATAAATATATAATAATATTATTAAGGTTATCCTTATTTGTTATTAATACCATAGGCGTGACAATTGGAACCTGCCTAGTCGCAGGCGTTCTAGTGGGCGACAAAATTCCGATAATACGACTCAGCTTATGTTGCTATACCTGCATTAAAATAATTCTATGTTTTCGTAACGTTTCGGAAAAGTCAAAATGCCGAATATAATCTCCATGCTACAAACGTGGTATAGTTGATAAAACTTACTACAGAATTATCCCCTCCATTTACCTTATTAACTAATGTAAAACTGCTTATTGCTCTGGTCACCAACGCCAAGTGTACATGGTCGGGGAGAAACATTTTGATTTTGAGATTCTGCCTTTAGTTAATGGTGTGATGTTGCTGCATCAGTTAGTTGCTACACGGCAAGATGTAAACAATGATTTTGTGGTAATAACTTACCTTTTCCTAAATTGGAAACGCACAACATTAACTTAAATGGAGATTGTGCACTTCATATGCGTCATTAAATATCGATACCTGTGTTACATTATTCAACGGGGCACAATTTCGACAGGGAATTAGTATATATCATGAGTGTTTCCAGCTGCGTCTTCCAATTTGTAAATAATCGACATTGACAGATATATGTAAGCAAAAGTTAGTAGAACCTACCGAATGACCCTTGCTGGATATCATCATCTGGAATCAACAGGACACTATCGATAATAAGAGATATATGTACATGAAAATCAAGGAAATTGTGCACAGCAACAATATTGTGTGACAATTACATCAATCTGAAATCCAGTATTTCATTTTCATCAAACGATTCGAAGGATAATTATATACGCAGCTTATGTAAATTAAGGTGGATGGTTGCAATTATTTCATACAGGCTATCGAATATGAAAGTAATACAACCTGAGCAGTGGCACACAAGGAAATACAACTTACATTCTTTAAACTTATATTCAGAAATTGACAAAATCCCGCGAGAATTTCCGTCTTTTATTAACAGCCTTCCGTCTTCCTCCTGCACGTCGGACACGTTGCAAATGCAGATTAATTCCTTCGTTCGGGGTTCGTAAAACCACCAGTGGATTCTACACTTTCTCTCCGCAATTTTACGGAACTCTAAAAGCTAAAAGATAACGTGGTAGTAACGTGAGGTTTACCATATTAATAAATTGCAAATTACATAAATACTAATGTGGCAGGCTCAAGGCTGTTAAGACATATATATTTAACGCAAATGTCTGTTTTGACAAATTCCCTGCAAGTTATTTGCATTTAATAATGCGATAATGACGGGGTAGCCAAGAATACGGTAAATTATATGTATAGGCGAACCACCTACATTTGCTTCACAGTATGACTCCACGCTTTCTCCAAGTTTGTGATTCATAAAATCAGTGTACGGCCTCCCATCCGTAGAAACCGTAACTGAGAAGTCTGCAGTAAATGATGGAGAACAAATGTCCAACGTCAAAGCAGGTTCACTACATATTATAAAACAAGTTAACTGTTTGGTTATAGATGATATCTATGTTAATGGCTTTATAGACCGACTTATATATTTGGTTCATGGTCCACACCAATAACTTAGACTTAACTTACTTAAACACACGACCAATCACTTTCCTCTTTTAAGTTTTTGTTTGGATTTACTTTCATACAAAGCTGATTACTGTAAGCTAATCTAATAGCCTAGACAAACGCCCACTCATCACCTTACTTAGTAGCTGCTTGGTATTTGTAGTCACTAGCTAGCTATCGTTCACACAAATGTCCAACTTTGTAGAGCGCTTAGCTTCATGCTGTCTATCGAACGTGAAATAAAGCATAAATTGTTGCACCTCCAAACTGCTACGTATGACCAATGTACGTCATGTTCAGCATCTGCCATCTACCCAGTACAGAGAACCAGCGTGCTTTTATGGACAACGGTCCCATTCGATATGTGGATCAAAACAGAACTAGGAGCGAGACGCAAAACGAAGTCCGAGGCAAAATGGTGCCCACCGAGCCATTGAGGAATAGCATTCCCTTGTTTATAATAGGCTAAAACAAGTCTTTGGTGTGCAGTTCGCAGTTAGTATTAGCTTGCTGTACGTGTTCATTTCAATGCGATGACTAGTAAACTGTTGTGACGCCCAGTACGCCTTCACCCCACGACCGCAAGAAGAAGTCCAAGATGAGCCGGGATGAACAGATTTTCTATTGCAGCACGGCACCAGTTATATAGCTTTACAACAAGAGCGAAGCCAAGCTACTAAACGCATGAGGTCCAACAGGCACGGAGAAACAAAATGGAACAAGCAAGAGAATCGCGAAATACGAGCCAATGAGTCGGCAAGAAATAGTGTCTGCGGAGTAATCCCTGGGGTACCTTAAACAGATTAAAACATAAACGAAAAGAAATGAACAAAAAGAAAAAACAACAGAATAGGAACAAAAGAAAAAAGAAAAATAAGTACCCCCAAACAAAAAAATAAATTGTTTGGCTCTGCACCGATTATATTGCACACTTATTGGGTACATAGCTATTTTGCACAAAATGCGATAAACTAGAGAATATGACTGAGGTATGTTGACTTGGCAAATTTTGTATTTAGGACCCATGGCTCCAAAAATTTGAGCACGGTGGCCGAAACGGTAGGAAAAAAATCCTAAAGATTGGTACACGGATAACTCCAATCTGCAACCAAGCATAAAACCAGTTTCTACAGACTTATTACGGCGAATCTCTTTTTCTTGTCAATGATATATTGTGATGTCAACTGTAAGGCTAACTACACCGGCATATCAGAACAGATCGACAGCATCTAAAAACGTAGCTAAATATCATCCATTGGCCAAGTCTAAGAACGAGGAGCGTATCCTTTCTCTACATCCCATGCAATCTCGCAGGGTGCCATAAGCGGAACATATACACATATCATGGCAACTACATTTCAGACCCAATTTCCTCGCAAACGGTTGATTTTAGTCGGGCCTATAAGTCTCTGAACATCATATGTTCGAAGGTTCATGAAACTAGCGCGAACACCGTAATATATAAGGTGCCGAAAGACAGTAAGTAGCTGTCGCCGTATGTCTCATTATTTAAGCGAATATCAAGCCATCTAACGTTATGCGCTCTGTACGGCACTGGTACTCGGTCCACTATGGGGAAACACGACTTCTATGGGTGACGTTACCATAGGCTAACAAAGGGTATGTGCTTATTTCGGCAGACACGCAACTTCGGATTTGATCATATTACATTCGGAATTTCCACATCACTTCGTGGAGCGAGCAGATGCGAAGAAAAACACAAACCCGTAGTAGTTGGTATGGTTTGCCTGGCGATATAATCATGGTGTAGCAAATATTAAACAACAATAATCACCTCTGCCATCAATTACTGAAGCTGCGTCACACCAAGCAACTGGGGCGTGATCTGCACAGATTAGAAGGACAATGCAGTTGCTTGGAATGCCGAAATAACCTCTAGTCGCGCGTTTGCCACACAATGAATAGCCCCTTAGAAGCTGTTATTTCAGCCCCACGTTAGCCGTTCTCAAAGCTAATTTCGACAATGCCATATTACCCCGTAGCACTTAAAACAAAAGACCCGTACATTCGTAAGCAAAACAAGAGCAAACTAACCCACCTTTTAACTTTTTCCTGGAAAACCTAGACGATTACCTTGGATAGCACACAAAACGGACGCGGACGATGTCATTGGCGAATTGGCAATTTGTGGCTGTTCAATATTTTCTATTGCCATATTTGCCTTTATTTAACTTACCCCTGACCCATCAGCGGACGGTACGCGTCAAGTTTGAATTTTATTATCCTCTGTATATCATTGACCATTGACCATGACAATGGCGCGGAACGAAAAATATACCATTAATCTTGGCGACCCTGAGCTTCAAGCAGCTGTTAAACACGAGATTTAAGTCAACGTTTGGGAGGACTGAAACTTAACTTGTCAAATGCTAATGTGGCTGTCAAACTGACTACAGGCCCAAACTTGTCATTCAACCACATACGATGTGAAAGTTAGGTGGCGGGTACTATTCTGCCGTGAAAATACCTAGCAGAAGACATACATGAAACTTGACGAAGTAACGTAAGAAACTCTCCTCAAATATTCACCTTATGACTTGCGACACCAGGCGTCAGCTGGCAGAAAAAGAGTAAAGTCACCCCAAATTCTCTTACATCCGCAACGGATTACTACAGAGCACAATCAATTGTAAAGAAACGTAAAATTTTTCTGCTTACTCTAAACGGAGCATTAGGCACTAGGCTTTCCTTCAGTCAATTTGAAGCGGCGGAAGGTTCAGTGCAACAGTTTACAATAAAATGACTATCTGCCTACCACATAAGGGTTGGCAAAAGCTCGTATGTAAAACTCGCACCATCAGCTATGATTCTGAAATGGAAAGCAGTTGCATGTAGGTAAAGCAATGTTCCGAACCTCATCAGTAACTTATCAGTGCATCAGCCTCGTCATCTACTTATGTCAATGGACCCGCTAATGATAACTGAAACCCAGCTTAACGATGAAATAAATTGTGTAAATTCGCTCAACCAAGCAACTCCATCGCATGTATATATTGGCTAGGTAGGAGTAGTGGTGTAATCATATACTTTGGCAGTGGCGTACATCTCCGATTAATTAAGGACACAGGGATACATGTAGTGTACTCAATTTGATGTCCTCCACACGTAACCCGTCTCGACACATTTGTGTTCTCTAGTATAGCTTTGTGACACGTCCAATCTGGAAGTGGGTGGCGGCCTAGCTTTTGCTTTGTATACCGTTCTAATAACCTAAAACTCTGAATATCCTGTGGGCAACTTCAAATTGGACGCGCTACAGTTTCTGGCGTTAATTTACGCATAGTTCGTAGCCGAGATTATAGAACCAGTTGTTGGCCTGCTACTTCGTATTCATATCAACACGTTTGCAGAGGCAAAATATAGAGAGCGGAACGATAATTAATACGTCAGTGCCCAAGAGCGAAAATTGATGCAGCTACACAGAGTATGCTCTACCCGCTGCTTCTAATCAGTATAAGTATCAGTACGACCTATCTAAATTCTAAAATGGAGAGAAAACTGTCCATTTGATTTCTGTTATTTGCTCATAAGGAGTTAATTTTGCTCAATTTGCGGTGCGCTGCTCCTTGAAACTGAGTGATCATGTAACACTGCTGCTCGCGTCGTCCGTTTCCAAAAAGCTTTGACGGAATCGTCAAAATAGTCTGCATTGTAACACTCCCCAGCATTCCATCCTAATTAATCGAGGTCTTTGGTAAGTCATTTCTAGCTGAAGAACATCTGAAGCCGCTTGGGATGCAGTTCGCCAATTCATGTAACACGTTAATAACCAATGCATCAAATATGTTATCGACTTTTTCAAGATAAAGCAAGGCATTCCACCACCAGTTGATGCATGTTGGCAAGTGTGGTCTGCGTAAGGATCAGCTAAAGCCCTATCCATCATTTTGCTTGTACTTTAGAACACCCGCTATTCCGAAATATCTTTAACACAATGACCACTACCGGTAAAACTATGTTTAGGCGACCGATGATTTGCCGCGTTTATAGCTACCCTGATGCAGACGGCGTTCTTTCAGAGACGTTGAAAACAGCTGCTATTTGTCTAGCTGAAATATTAGAAGTATCCTTTGAACCTTGTCACAACGAGATGCAGGTCACAGGGGGTTGGAAGCGTGGGACCATCACCCAATACGCAATAATTGAGAGCAGTGCGTAACAAAAAATATGAATTTATAGTACTAAATACGGTGCCGAGCCAGGTCCGGGAAAAAACTATGGTTGATAAAATGTAATTATAAATATTATTATGATAATTATTATGATAAAATGTAATTATCGCCCCAACCTCATCAATAACCGATTTGTCGATACACTGACAAATTTACCCTATATGATATAACTCTTGATGTCCGCTGATGACACTAATGCGGAACCTACAGTGAGAATTTATGACTCATCCAATATACTGTGCAGGAATACTCACAAATATGCACATGCGAATACTTGTCATTTATTTATTGAATACTACATACTGAATTTCATATTGTAGTAGCAAGTAGAAATTTGCAACTGTACAATTCCATCGGGTTATGATAAAATAGACACAATGAGTATACCAAGTTGGAATCGTTAATACAATGATTGCTATTAACCTTAGCAAGTTAAATGGTTTAAAATTTATTTTAACCCACCGTAGATAAGGACTCAAAAAGTGAAATATTTCGATGTACTCATTCCCGGAACCTAACATAAGACAAGTGTTCCTCAAAAGGCCGTTTGCCATGCTGCACTGGATTCGCTATCATTATATGTTCTAGCGAACTGTTACCGATATATAACGTTCGCTTTTTCTGCACGAGTTTTACGGAACTCGCTCCATAGTTGAAACCAAAAGATTGCATTGTTGACCGGGTTTCCTGCAAGGCTTTTGGGGGTGGGGCAGTTGCATGAACAAAAAGGAGTCGCCTACAGTTAAATTTCGGTATGTTATGATTAGGTCCACACGTTACCGAGGATATATTGGGTTGTAGGTTTGCATTCTCCCTCACCCGTATTCAAACCGTAAACCTCGAAATACTACAATGTTCCTATCAGCGACAAGTTAAATCAATTCAACCAACTGCGCCTCACCACGAGTGCTCGATAACTATGTGCGTGAACGGTAACCTAGCAGTAGTCTGATGAGGAAAGAGAATAGGCAATTGGCAACCTCTTATAAGCAGATGCAGAAAGTACGTTAGAGTAAAAACCATGAGAAGGCGGTCACGATATAGGCTGTTCGTGTTTTCTACATATCGCAAGTCGCAACGTAAGAGTACTCCTAGATCATTCGCATATGCTTTGGTATGTAGTACTTTGCGGTTGTGCGTTTTATCTGGGCCGTCGCCACCAGTCCCCACGCTCATGACTAACGACTTTGATGAGTTGAGCGGGAGGCGGACTTCCACAGATCACATAGAAAGGCGGTTAAGGTCCTTGTTGAAGTAACTCAAAGTCGTCAGATGTACATATCACAGTCTATATATATTGGTCGTCTGCAAAAGGGACCCGGGTGCCTGAAAGATCTGAGGTGGGTCGTTGATAAACAATGAGAATAAAGTATGCACTAACCATGTACATTGGGATGCGGCACTGGTTGAAGGTAAATAGTCGGATAGGTAGTTATTGACTTGTGCCCTCCACTTTCATCCAACGTGATATTCCGGGATCTATGAATGCAAAGATCCACTAACTTACAATCTCAGCTTGAGAAGGAGGAAAGCTTGCTGAAATAGATGTAACTCCTATCGACTGACTTTCCCTATTGATTGCTTGCTAACCTTCATGTAATTTCATAAGCAGATGGGTGATGCATAAACGATTGGTATAAAACCGCGATATGCAGGCGTCAGTATATCTTGTGACTGGAAATGCTGTAGCGAACGCTTATTCACAATATATCTTCAACGTTGGCCCAAATAATTGGCAAACAATTTGGGTTGTATTTGTCGACTTTGCTAGGTCAATGAATATCGGAATTGAGCATTGTCAATTTATTGGCAAGGCACCCGCAGAAATGGAGCTGTTGAACAATTAACTGCCCCAGGTAAGATGATGAACGATAAAATCTTGGGAATCCGAATTAGAGCCTGTCAGGCCCTGCAGACTTAATATAGTTAATATTATTGAGAAGCTGTTGCACGCTATCCAAACCAAACTCCAGAATGTCGAGTTCGGTAAGGGTGATGCAAACTGAACTCTTCATGTAACCTGGTCATTTGCAAACGCGAAGCAGACAGCGCAGTAGAAGCGGGGACGGGCACTGTGCTGGAGGTTATGGGAAGTCCGTTTGCTCGTCCTCTATCACTGGTATGTAAACTGCCAGATTCAGGCATCTCTTCAACTACGCGATGGAACTCATTTGTGCGGCTTCTTTGCGGTTTCCTGCTGCTCAACTACTTGCTCGCGCTTGCTCCTTTTCTCAACTTTGCAGATAAATCGCTGATTTTGTTACACTTTACGGAGGAGCCTACACGCTTGACTGTCAACAGATTATTTCTACAATATTCGTGTTGTTCTAGGTATACTGTCGTGCTATGATTTGAAAGATCTGGATAACACGACAAGACTATATCGTAACGAACTGCGCATGTTATGGGCGCTCAAACGTATCTTAGGCACCTGGTCTGAAGAAATTGCCCCTCAGTTCTTATCTTCCATCAGCATACCAATGCTGGATTATGTTTCACCCTGCCTACTTTCCGAGTACCCAATGAGATGCACAAAAATCCAACGAGTCCAAAGCGCTACTACAAGACTCGTCCTGAGTTTACTTGGCTCGGTTTATGAAGACGGTTGCACGAAACTAGGTCTCTAAACTTGTTCCAGCCGTCGAGTATATGTCGACCTATTATATACTGAGTATGTCAAATCTCGGTGACTTCCTCATGCAGTGACCAATGATAAATTTACAAGGGACATGCAGCGCACGCGGACGTAAATACAAAGTTTTCTCGTCTGATGTGAAGCGAGTTCACACCCAATGTGCTTTGAACGGTGTGATAAATATTTTGAACCGTTTGGCTAAACAAATGTTGGAGGCAGGATTTGTGCAGCATTTCATGATGTTGATGGACATATATTTCACCACCATTCGATTCAGAGAACAATTGAACAATTACGTCAACGTCTCGCATACGTTGGTCAAATATTTACATGTTCCATCAAAACGAAAACATATCCAGGCTGACAACTTTTATAAGCTTTTTCACCATATTGAGAAAGCTTCCTAGGGGATTCATTTATACTTTTCCCATAATACTGTATTCAGTATTTGGTATTCCTCATAATCTTCGTCCGAGCCAATTAAAATAAATTTGTCCCAAATCTTGTGAATCTGTCTGGCCAGTTTACCATATTCCTCGTCGAACAAACCAGATTTGATTGTTCTGACTTCTGATTGTTGAAACGCATAAAACGGTTACCCAAGTAACTTCTTCCATTTTTATAATTGACAAACAAGTTTCATCCGTTAAGCTTTTGGCAGAAACCAAGCAATATAGTATGCGGCTCAGGAGTTAGAACTTCGTCTTTCCGTGGTTGCAATTTTGAGCCTTTTCAACAATGGGCGCTAACATCTTGTAATTTTCCCTATGGGACTTCGTGGGTAATTGCTTTAATAAAACTTATACAGCATTGCTATACCGCTGAATATTGGCAAAATTATCTACGTACATCTATAAGTCACACATTTTCCTTGAATAATAACAGTTTCAAGCGACTAGCAACCCTGAATGCTTTACAGTTTTGCCATACATACCAGAAATTTGGACCATATGACCCTACATGTATTGATTACTCGCTTTTCAGAAATTAATAACGTCCCCTTTGGTAACTGAACTGAGCGCAACTGAAACTTACACAGAATTAAAACTGACGTCGGGAAATGTACAAGTGATTAACATACAATTTGGTACGAAACAGTGCTCCCGGTCAGGAAGAAAGTGCATTGATTACAAAAAGATGGAAGCTCATTAGTGCATTATTCTTCCAAACTGTAACAAAATATGCCATAATTAATTTAGGTATTTCACTATGCCAAAGTGTTTATTCTAATACATCGACCGCCGACTGATTGAATATCATGAAGAAGAACTACAGTAGTCATGCCTACCATCCACTGGCGACTCACCGCATGTGACTTGAAGCATACAGCAAAGGAGGCAGAAAATGCTGTCCGTTAACATTTTCTGTTAAATGAAGTCTTTAGTGTGTTTTGCTTGCCTCAGTAGACTGATTGAGCTGCCTAAATAAATGCTGGCTTTATTCCCTTAAAATCTAAAAATTAATGGCCAATCATGTACAAGGCTAGACAGCTAAGCACCAAGTGGTATCACCTGTGGCAGCTTGAGATTATACGTGTCTGTCCAAAACAGTGCACTGAATGTACGTTTTTGAAGTGAACATTATTGGTTCAGAGTGTATAACGTGTTTTGTGCTCACTTATGTTAAGACAGTGAACCCATACACACAAAACAGCTGTATCGAGGAAGCAAACTTTTACTTTCCATGCTATCCTTGTTTGTGACAGATGATGGTTTCATACATCATTTAGGGTCACATCCGGCACCAGTTAGGCAGGCGAATTCAAACGTACATAAATGTTCGTAATCCAAAAAGTGCCGCATTGTGTGATTTTCACTTTCAACCAGCGGTTAATAGAAAGATTATCATCAACAAAATATAAACGTCCACAATAAGTGAAAAATATCCATATAGATCATATATTTCCCGACACTGGTTGAAACAGTTTAATTGAGCATTCTGTTTGTTTTATACGGCTGGAGAATTTTCAACTTATCATCCTCTTGCTAACAGGGAGTTTTGCGGTGGTGGACAAATGAATGTAACTGAAACATTGAGGATTTAGGAAGAAAAACATTCACATGTGCAGCCGGATTTTAAAATAAAATAATATGCATAGAAGAAGGAAAATATCCAGGGTAACTTTCTCATGCAGTGTGTTCCTAGTAGCGATTCATTCCTGCTTCCAAGCCCTGTTTAGCCATGTTCTTGTTTAGCACAATAGCAGGAAAACCATCACCTCATAAACGCATCTTAATTACAGTTATGATACACATTCATGACGGGCAATCAAGTGTGCCATTTCGTTCGAGCATTCGTCTTCCCCTTTTAATGGCGTACTTACAGGTTAGGAGTAGTAATCATAGGTCCAGACGCAGGTAGACATTAAGCCGCATTTTTTACGCTTAACTGGACGAAACGCCCCGTGAGCATTATTAACATTTCACGAATACCAGAGTGGGACAGTGATTGAAGGGTACAAAGGAAGTGCTTCTGAAAGTAGCAGACCTGGCAATGAACAGTGATTTATAACGGGTAAAAAAGCAGGTGTTTGACATGTCCCGCAGGGTATTAAGACTGACAAAATGATAGCGAACGGATAATGGAGTAGTCAGTTCAGGCGCTTACATACGTAACTGCACTGTCGTATAAAGGGAGTTTTAAATGAGAACGTACGCACGCAGCGAAAAGGGAAGTAGTTATTGTTCACATCTTAGGCTAAAATATAAAATATATATGAAGGACAACGCTTGCTAGTGTGCAACTATGTTGGGTCGACAGGATACAAGCTGTGGAATGGTCATAAAGAATAGATCGGTTCATGCATTAGAGAAGAATGCTATGCAAAAGAAGTGGAGTAAACTAAACGGGTTTTGAAAAGCTACATCGAACCAAAACGGATGGCTTGTCATTAAGGTCAACAGAAAGAAAAAATGAAGTCGGGGATCGCCTCGGCGATTGGGTCCTTGACTCGGGTGGGTTGATCATTTTAAGTAGAGGACAGATAAACGAAGTTTAGGTGCCTGTATTTTAGTTCTGGTAATTGTCTGGGAAGGAGTTGTTGGTAAATATGAGAGATGTTGGTCAGCTTAGACCATGAAATATGACCTTCATATGAAGGTGGGGATTGGTTAATCTGTACGTATTCGTGGAGCGTGTCACTGTAAAACGTGCTGTAGCGGATATAATCAAGATGTCTGCAACTGGAGAACCAGGTAGCTTACTCTTGCCCAACAGATTGTTGCTGAAGAACAACTCATGCGCATCTTCTAAAGCATTCCTTGTTTCAGCAAAAAGCAAATGTCGTTACCCAGTGAACAAGGAAATCTACGCCGGAGATAGCATCCATGAGCTCGCTGAAAGCCGTTTGCTCTTTATCCTGAAAGCCAGCTGGAGTTTGTTTAATGTAAGTAGGTCAGTTCCATGGCCAAGTGTGCTAATTGCGGCGTGATAGTAAGCATCCATCGTAGTTGACTAGTCTAAAATTGACGGGATTGCTTGAATGAATTTGGAGCTGGTAAGAATATTAGCCTAGATTTTGTTTGCAAAGACCCCGTTACCAGAAGATTATACAACGTAAACAATGGATTATACTGTGAACTTGCCAAGTTGGCACTAAGTAAGGTTGGCGGTGATAAGGTTTTAGGACAGCAGCTGGAATGGTGATTGCAGGAGGATTAGGTTTTACATGTCGAATTATTTACAATCGAATGTTGTTGCGTTTGGTGAAAGCGAATTCTAGGCCACGAGGTACGTCTGGAAGGAAACGTTGAACGGCTTGGTTAGTTTGCGCAATTCAAATGACTTTCATAAGAACAAACAATCGGAAGGGATTGATGACGGTTGTTTTTGAGCTATACGTCTCTATATAGGTATATGGTTGTAAGCGGAAACAGGATATATCTTGCTGGAGAGCTACTTACCTGTGAGGAAAAGAGTAACTTCCTGGCATTTTGAGGTGTTTTAATTTAAAGTGACCATAGGATGGATTATGCCCGGTACTCAAGGCAAATGCCTTCATTGACATCTCTTCGGCACATATTTGACTTCAGAGGACGAAAGGTCGCCTGAAACACGGATTATTTCACGTTTGAGCATATGGTCAAGCTCTGCCCTAACTAAAGATTTTCCATCGAACGTCGGCGCGGGTCTGATGAGACGGGTAGACCATCAGTCCGAATATGGTGTGTAACTCGAAAATCTATATGCAGTGCTGCTTTCATTTGCTGAACGCGTTTGGATCAATATACGAAGTGGCCGGTATAATATGTAGAGGTCCATGGGGCAAGTTTTAATAGGCTGACAGCTAGGATGCTGGTATTTGTACCAGGGGAGCTGGGAGTCGTTGAGGTGCGTGTTATTCTCTGTATTTGCGCGTGGAACAAGTGGATGATGGGCCTCAGCAAGACTATGCCGAGGATGATAAACGGAACTTCGGAAATAGTGAAAATGTTGCTTTAAGTTTTACGGAGCTAAATTAAGCATTAAAGACCCTTGGCTGTCCATAGGTAAATCCTCCTTATATTACTGAATAAAAGCCGATGATATTTGAACAACTTTCTGAATTGTAACAAGTAATTGGCTCATAAATTGCTTATCCGCAATTTGAAAATAGTCACTTGCGGAATCCACCCATGCATTCAATTGACACCAACGCCTCTACCTCCCGTTTGCGCCATGCGCTAGGGGCTGACGGTATTCCCCGAGGAGATTTGGAGCAACTCAATATTCGCCTGGTTTACCTGCAACACTGATGAATCTACTTTATAAATAATGAGGTTAATTTGTGGCAAAAATTATTAGCAAATTTCACGTTGGACACTTGCGACAGATGATATTATGGGAAAATTAGGGAATATACAGAGCCAAAACCATCGCACAATAACACGGAAAAGACACTGACAGAAAACACCTAATGGTAGACTTTTTGGCCTAATGTTATATAGACTTAAGGATTTGGACTAATATATTATTGCAACCTTATGATGCCCTGTTATACAAGGGACGTCAGTTAATCGGTAAAATATAGTATGTAACTAGCAGTACGAAGTCAAAATGTTGCAGACTGAGTCGCCTCTTCAGTTGTGCGTGGAACCACGTTTACTTCGGGTCCGGTAACAATTAGGAAGCGGTTCCAGGTTTGCAGTCTTGAACGTAAAGGGGGTTATTTCGTAGCTGTGGACTTGGATGATATTGGCTCATGATTTGCGAATAATGCTATTCACAGATTAAAATAAAGGGTGGGTGCAATGTTCAGTGCTTTACCTTGCCTCAACGCCGATGCATTAGTGATATCAGCATATTTGGTTGGTAGGTAGGCTACCAACCATAGCCTTTTGCTCTTAGGTAACGGTGCGTAATCGTGTAGTGAAGGAAATATTGCTCGATGCATAAGCCAATAGCTCCTTGAATACTGTGATATGGCCAAAGGAATTTGAATTATGGATTGCTTGATACCCGCATAAAATAGATGCCTGGTGAAATTTATTATGCATTCAAGAAATGTGCGGCGAGTGTCGTTATACGATATACTTTCCTAAGAAAGTGTTATCTGTTCACATCAGTTAGTTTGGCAGCTAAAATAAGAAAGAGACATTGAAAATCTCATGATAGCTTGCGCTGAAACAGTCAGATTTTACAGGTAGAGTTCCAGGGATATAGATTAATACATTGTGATTGAGCCTAGGATAACTACTATCATTCATCATATGGCGGATGACATCTCAACGCCCAAAGGTAAGCTGTTACTTGGTAGTCGGAATATTTGATAAGCATGTCAGCTACGCTGCATATACGTATATATATATATATATATATATAAATATATGTATGTTTGTATGCAGATAAATATGGCGAGAGAGACTATGGTGCGCTGACTCTGGTGGTGGCTAGATCCTGACAGATGGTATACCTATTGCTACTACCGTTGTGCCATTTGCTGATGTCCTGGGCGCCTATTCGTGGCGACCGCTGGGTGGGAGATAGGTTTCGCCCTACTACCTGCTAAAATTCAGGAAACTAATCCGCATGTGTAAGTGAAATGACCATGTGCTAGACCCACTGCCTTTCGTGTATATTTTTATTCGAAGGCTTTGGCTGAAGATCCGATTCGTTCTCCTATCAGGTGTGGGCGCCCTGACAGTATGCCAGTCCATCCTTTTCGGAGGTTAGAAAGTTGTTGATGGCCATCTCCCGTAAAACCCAGGCATGGGAGACAACAGATCTACGGGTTATAAGGTCACAGCTTAATTGGCATAGAGCACGATAGCCACGCAAATTCGCTGACGGTGTGAGGGCAACTCCGGTTGTTTAAAGGTTTGCTACTCCCCGTCTCAAGCCAGGCAGC